ATCCATTATTAAAATAATATTTCATTTGATTCTGATGATTCCTTCATGGTGTTGCATTTTCTACAAACAGCAGTTTACTTATGTAGACACTTACGTTGCTACCGAGGAGCTGCTTAAACATCAAACGTTTATGTCTTGATGTAATTTTTTACGTTGAATTGAATCAGATTAATCCTGAAACAATCGGACCGATAATTTAGAAGTTATAAGCGTTTATATATACCAAGAATACAATTCTGCTCTTGTATCAAGCAAGACCAAACACAAATCAATAGGGTTATCTGCATAGCAATGAAAGTTATTGCTTAGATAAGTGCAAGCACAAAATTAAGCTTTTTTACATTAAACGATTATAACTTGTCTATATATTAAGTAAAATGAGCAAATATGTACAAACGAGTATATTTAGTTCATAAAAAAATTTTATCTTCTCGGTATAGTAATGCAGGTTAGGTTTCATTAGATTCATCGGGGAAAAAATACATCAAAAATCATACCTCATTTGTTTAATTATCAGTATTCAAGATTAATTAAGTTTCATAAGATATTTTTACTATTCAAGACGTTTATTTTGTAATAGTATCATAAGTGTAACTTCAAAAATATTTCGCTCTTGTTTAATTGCAGCTTAAACAATTAATGCCTAGTTGACCTATCATGAGCTAACGGGAATGGAACAGGGATTACCGATTGGAAAGTAAAACTGTGAAGATTTGGTTCTACAAACTTTCAACGCAGCACAATTACCGCTGCTCACTTGGAACCATAAACTGAGGGGAAACTGGGTGAGTTTATAAAATTACGAAATGAACATACGTAATTTAAATAATATCTTTAGCTATCTTTATGTTTTAGAATGTTTCTTACTTATATTAACTTACTTTAAACTAATTTTATTATTAAGAGTAGCTACATATTTTATCAGGTTTAATTAAGTGGCTAATCAATTTTTTTGCATAATTAATATTTTTGATGCATTTTAATAAATCTTATTATTTTTGTAAAAAAACCTTTTTTATCAACAGTTTAATGCGAAAAAGTTGCATATTGAAAAAAAATAAAAACGGCATAAAATTTTTTAAATCGGTAAATATCCTTCATTTGCGCATCGTTCTTAAAATTAATCACGCCTTTTTTTCTTTTACTCTTGTTTGACTGGATAATTCTTCTGAAACAAACACGCTTCAGTTTTTATTCTTTCTTGATAGTTTGAATAACTTACACAAATGAAATTGAACTCTGATACACAATAAACTTTTTTACGATCGCACACCGTTTTAGAAAAACACACAAGTTTAAAAATTTTTCGTAATTTTTACTTTGTTAATTTGGCTATATCTTACCAATCAGACCTCACCACGTTTAAAAATGGGTATCCTGCATACCGTGACGTAACTACCCCTACGAATATTAAACATCAATTTACTGGTATATAAGACATGCAAACTTGATTCAATCATGAGGTACATTTTGATAGATGAAGATTGACATGGTCGATAACTCCGCCCCCACATTGGTGACATCCGGACGTGATTTGAACACGCAGTAACGCCTTCTTCGTTGGACGGTCCACATTGAGCAGTTGACTTGTTACTTGTGACTGCAACGTTATCCAATCCTCCTCAAGCTGTTGCTACGCAGTCTCGTCTCAATTAAACACAACAGGCTGCCTGCATACACTCGACTGCTAACGGTCTTTCACAAGCACAGCAACTAGTGAGATCCGTTTATCGAATTCTGTCCTTGATAAAATTCTGGTGGGGGAGTATTGTGGCGTAACTACCACTAGAAGATGAAGGTAGGCATTGTCGGTAACTCCGCCCCCCACAATACCATCGCATCGAGTTCCTCCTACAAAACAACCATTCAACCATCCAGATTCTTTAAGTGGTTTTTGCATTATATTTACTATTGTGGACAAATAATTTCAATGGAGTTGGATACTTTAGCTTACTGCATTGATAAGTTTCCTTTTCTATATCTTCTACTGATATTTTGAAGAAATCAAGATTAACTGATCTGGACCTTAGTGTTGTTAGGATATATCCGTTCCTAACTTCATGTTTACTTAGTTTATTTGTATTTGACAAACCTGTACAAAGTCAGGGAGTGACACGGAAACGTTATTGTTTTTCTAATTCGCAAAGTGCCAGAATTTTTCGGAGATCTAATATCATCTGCATAAGTACTGCAGCATTTTAGGAGGATATACCATGCAAGAATTCCAATTAATGATTGAGTAGCAATTCGAATCTTGAAATTTTATAGTCTGTATTACAAAATGCGATGATTGCCCAGCAAATTTCTGTCAACCGACAATACCTGCAGTACATTTTAAATGCAATCACCTTGCAACATTGTCCAGAAGACTTGCCAAATTGCTGTCCCGTTCCTTTATCCATTTCAAACAGCTAATTGTCGTCAATTAAATTTTTAGATAGTATATAAGAAGGGCCTTAAAAGCAAGACAAACCGTCCCAATGAAAAAGACTCTTAGAAGTTTTGTGCTACCGAAGCTAAATTTTCATCCTGCAGATTGCTTTGAAATCATTCATTGAAATTTTTGATTGGTATATCCTTCTCCGATGTTTCACAACTTAAGTGACGTTTAAATTATATCACACATTAGCTCCCGATACTACGCATTAGAGAGATATCAAAATCTCCCTATCACTCTCAGGCTGTTATAAAGGAGCGTCAAACTTGTGACAGAAACTTCGAATAAGATTAAGAAAATTAAGTTAGAGTTTGAGCAACATTAAAGTCTAGATCAGTTTTGTCTTAACTCTCCAAACAATCAGACTTAAAATGTGTTATAGATATAAAAAAGGAAACTTAACAAAGAAGTAAACCTAGATATCCAACTCAAATAAAAATCTTTGAATATAGCTATAATGTAAATACCCGTCCAAAAAACGGAAGGTTACAGTATAGATGGAACTCAATGTGCAAACATCTTCACGTGGTTAGTTCCAAGTTTTTCTGGTCAACTCTAATGAGAGAATATATACACAGAGAGAATTAAGAAATATTGGTTAACTTCTGTTTTTTTCTAATTTTTTTTTGTTGCTATTAAAATTGACTTCTGTGAGTTCCATAAAAAATGCCACATTTTAACAGCCAATCATTATCGATTTAAGCTCATTACTCGTTTGCAGGAGCACAATTGTTATTATATAAGGGGGAAAGCATTAAAAAGCAGGAACAATTACTTACCTATGCATTTTTTTTGTGTTTCTATAAATCCATACATTGGCTTACATTTACAAACAGCTTTACCATCTTCTTCAACGCATAATCCACTTCCACAGTCACATACAGTGTTCACATCTTAAAATAAAAGAAAGAATGCATATTAGATATAATGTGTCTTGTTAACACCAGTAAAAAACATCAAACAAATTGTATCAACTATCTAAAGGGGATATTTGTTAAATAATGAGTCAAAATCTCTAAACTATAACAGGAATTTTGGCAAAATATTCTTATTAAATTGGTTTTTATGTAATTATTAAACATGGGTTAACATAATTTTGCAAAAAAATGTGCCAGACATCGCGTGAGGTTCTTCGAGCTACAAAAACAGGAAAACCACTCCCCTGCAGAGGATCAGAACTGTGATGTCATGTCTTGATTTATCCTCACGAAAATAACCCAAACGGTCATCAATTTCCTATTGTGTACCTCAAGATCGACCTAAGTAAATTACAACTCAAACAACATCAACAACAAAAAAAATTATTTTACAAGCACTTGAATTTTTTGCACTTATTTATTAAAAAAAATTTCGAGAATCATTAAGGGAAATTGAATAAAAGTTTCAGGGCTTACTTGAAAATGCAAAAGTTCTTTTAACGCAAATATAAAAATTGCTAAATGATGAATTCCAAATAATAAAACTGGAAGCAGAGTTTTTTTTCTTCTAATTTTGAGCTAAAATAAATTAAATTGGTGTTAAATGAGAAATTTATTAAGAAATATAATAACGAAATATAAAAAAAAGCGACCGCCTGATTTAAAGAACATATTTTAAGAAATATATTCACTGCTCGCTATTCTCCATCTCTCCCGAAATTGTCCATTTATAATCAGTTGTTATAGTTACTCGAACAGAAGAGAATTATCTAGGGAAAGTGGGGATCTTTACTTTGATTACCAAAGAATGGAATTGCTCTTTCTCGGGGGCATGGGAGTCAAAAAACATTTTTCTTTAAAAAAAGAAACTAAACGTCACGCAGTGAAAAATAATGTTTCTTTTTAGTGTCGGACGGAAGATTTTTTTTCTTTATTAAGTTCTAAAATTCCTCCTTCATAATTTTTCTTTTTACTTTATCTCTGCATGAGTAAAAATATTTTTTTAACATATAATTAAGTAATATATATATATATATATATATAATAAATGTTGATTTTTTAAACTTATTAATTGTCTATTTCTTCAAATTATTCAGTATAATATTACCTTCCACACGTCCATTTTCGAGCCCATCCTTGGTAACTGACAAATCAACCGCACTTCTGTACTGCAGTAAGAACGTATTTGAAAACAAAACCCCTCAATTTGCGCTTTTGTTTTCATATTTTGATATCTGGTGATCTTTTTACGAAAATATTTTAAATCATTCTTGAAAAATCTCCCGCTCATGTAAGTTCATTTGAATTCGCGACTCGCTTTATAGATTTCGTTTCATGTTTCATTCTGTTTTTTCTTTATATTTTATTTTCTGTTTTTACGTGATAGTTTTACTTAGTGTGTTCTATTTTATTTGTTGTAAATTTTATTGTAAGACTGTTTTTGAGTGCTCCTCACAATATTGTATTGAGATATTTCGCTTTGGCTATATTGATACAATATTAGAAAACACTCCTATTTGCGGATATAACCATGTGAGCTGATAAAAAGATTATATATTTTACTTTCCCGATTTCTATTAATTTTTTCCATGTTTTTTCTATATATATATATATATATATATCTAGATAGTCACAACGCTTTATAATTTTAGCAGCAAGTAACATCCCTCGCGGTAGCTTTTAAATTTCCATATTGTTTTCTTTATTTTATTTTAAAGAAGCATAGTTGTTTAATTTATAGAGGAGCAAACATTGACTCGGTTCACTTTCCAGTTATTGCTAAAATGAGGTACAAACTAAGCAAAGTATACTATTAGAGGAGAAATTGAAAACTGAAAAAGCTTGATGTTGAGGAGCTGAAGAAACCCAATGTTCAAGAAAAGTATTTATCTAACTTAAGTGATAAACTTCAATCCCATGAAGAACTCGGAAGNAAAGTTGTTCATAAAGTCATTAGATATTTTTAAATGAACACAGAACAAAGTGAACATATACAGAAATAAACAGAATTCTCAAAATAAATAAAAATATCTCCTCAGAATCTTGCCAATTTATCGACTGCCGCCTTTCTCCTAAATTAATTAAATTAATACATATTTTTTTAAATGAACATAGAACAAAGAGAATGCTTGGAAAAAAAACTGAATTTGCTAAATTAATAGAATTGTCTCTCAATCTGAATAGTTTTATATATATATATATATATATAAAATTTTAATTCATTTCCCTCGTTGAAAATTGTTTTATTGTAATAGCATTTTTACCCTTGACTAAACACATTTAATCCTTATAGTTTCTAAAAAAAAGTCTTTCTGTTATAGTGTTGATAAATTTCGCTTCTATTACTACTGAAGCAAAAAATTAGTTTTTACTTGTTTTGATAAAATGTTTCATAACGGTTTTCTCTTCCTCCCCCCTTCTTTTTGTTTTTTTCAGCAAGAAAATGTTTAAAGGAAATGTTGAATATCAGGATATTGAATATTTATTACTTTTTGCCTAGGAACGCGATTCCTGTCTATCCATTTGGGAAGTATTCTCTACTTGAAGTTTTTAAGAGCTTTATTTTTCACTTTGTGTAATAAAACTTCTTTAAACTGAAATTTTTTTTAACATCAGTAGGTGAGCGTTGAAAAATAAATAAATGCTAATCTATATTTTAAGTCAGATAGATATTTAAAATTCTTTTTAACTTTATTTTTTTAAAGTTTTCTGTTTCTGAATTTATGAATTTGAGTGTCCTATGCATCGAAATTTTTATTTTTTAAATGAGTGGTAAGATTAACTAATCCAATATTTGAGTCTGCTTTATTTGATTTTCATCTTAAAGATCGAGTACATTTAATTGAATATCTATAATACTACTTCGATTTCCCGTGTTTAAAATTTTCATCGGAAATGCTCTTCTTTCCAAAGTGACGTGAACATTGAACTCTCATAGAAAACATTCACTTGTAAAACTTTCACGTAAATGATCACAAATAATATGCTAATTACAGGAAGCCACCAGGTGACGCCGATAATAAGTCACCATGACAAGAGTGTAAGAAAGGCGTGTATAAGGAATGAGGGCAAGAATTATCGGCAGCCTGGAATGAGGGCGTACTCAGATTGAAGTATCCGAAGAACTTAGACTGCCCTCTCTAGGCTTTGACAACGATTCCAAGAGGATGGACATTTCCGACAACGTTACATTGCAGCTTATCCCGAAGTAAGAATATCTAATAAAGGTTGATATTTATAAGTAACTATCAAAAGATATTGGCGGAGTACAGCAACTATCGTACAGCAGTATCGTCAACTATCTGAAGCCACAGGATCGCAGTTTAAAGGGAAACCGTGTACTCACGTTTTTGAAATATTGCTCGCAGGTCTGTCCTTATTTTCGTAGTTTCATATTATTTTTTGGATTCTATGCACTCGTAGTTTTAGCACAGTAAATAAAACCTAATTACTTTAATATTTACTTTTTAATATTATTTTAATATTAAAATTCTCAAGTCAGAATCGCAGCGTAAAGGCGTTTGCACGTGAACGTTTTATAACGTTCTGTAACGTTTTGTTTTGTCTTTTACAGAATCTTGAGGCTAAATCTTGCGGAGATAGCAAGGGAAGATAACTTTATTAGGTCCACATTCTACTGATTCCTCTTAACCCACTCAAGAATGATCTCAATTATAAGCATATAAATAGAAAGCTAATTAAAAGAGTTCAGATAATAAAATCTGTATAAACGTTGTTCGTCACATATTAGAACATTTGTTAGTTATAATATATTGTGAATAAACTCTAAGCGATGAACTCATTGTTATCCTAGATGGTTAGCTATGCAGCCAGTGGAAGCTAAGTCACTTGTATAGTGCATTACGTAACTAAATAGCAATTTTACCAATATAATTACGAGGCCAGGATTGAAAATATTATTTAATTAAAAATATTTTGCTTTTTTCCTTTTTAAACCCGCGGAGAAATTTTTTCGTGGAATTAAACTTTAACTGAAATAATAGAAATGAAACTTCTCCACAATTCAAGATAAAATCCCTGGAAAGGGTCAAGACACGTTTCTGTTTTTTTTCTCTGTTGCACATCTTTTTGACAAAATTTTAATCTTACTTAAAGCTGCTTACCTACACACTTCTTATCTTTTACAACAAATCCTTTCTTACAAATGCATGTAATTGTTTTGCTTCCAAACCAGCCAGGAGTTATAGTACATCCATGTCCTTTTCCACAATTGCATGCTGAAACATTAAAATATGCACAAAATCATTAGTAAAATAAGATATAGGAAATTCAATCATAAAAATTATTTTTAATAATACTTAAATAACCTTTAGTTGTTGTCAAATTGTAGAGAAAAAATAGGAAAACTTATCTTGGACATAACTGAAATCTAACTTCTTTTTTTCTACCCGTAGTTTTGTAGTTACTAAGTTTGTAGTATTTATTCTAGTTGTTTTCAAGCGCAACATCGAAACGTTCATAAGTCTTTCGTGATTTTTAAAATTCTCAATGTTTTTAAAGACCATTTGATAAATTAGAGTTTTTCTCTTCTTGATGCCTTTTATCAACTCATAGAATTTGTCGGACGAACTTTGTCACGCCCTGTATCAAGTTTCAGAAATTGTTTCGATTGAAAATATTTTTATTCATCTTATACTTTTGTTTTTGTGTTAATGCCTAAAATTTTTTCAACCGTTTTCAACAGCTGTGATGAATAGAGCTAGCAATTTTAACGTTAAAAATTAACTTCGTTTACGTGTAATAACTAGACAAGAAACAATTTCACAAGAAAAAATAAATTTTTTTCATAAAAAAGCCTAGATAAAAATGCATACTCTCAAAGAGTAATTTACTCTCCTCCTACCAGGGAGAAAAAATATGTTTATGAAAAGAAAAATAAATGTGCTTCCATGATAAAAACACTGTTTTTAATAGCTAATATATTCACTCGGCATACATATAAATTTTAATACTTGATATTGCATACAATTTAATAGCCGCTGGGAAGCAGTAGTATCAGCATTAACACAGGTTTCAATAATGACAACGTTCAATTTTGTTATAGGCTGAAACTTTCTGCCATTGACTTGCTGCATTCTACTAAGGTAACTTTGTATATGCTTTTAAAAGGTAAAAGTCCAGACCATGATATAAGTACCCTATTTTCCAAAAACTATTCACGAAGGAGACTTTGCAGCGTAAATATAAACTATAATTCGTTAGAATATTAAATTTGGCCCGCCAGTTCTCTCAGAAAAAGAAAGAAAATAAGTTTTGTTTACATTTTATTGGATTTTATCTATGCTAAGACAGGGGTTATCAAATATACCTAACCACATCTGTTCTGACTGTCAGACTGCTCTCTTATCACTATCAAAATGTAAATTCACCTCTTCACTAGTGTGAGAATGCTTCTCGGTCCTCTGTGACTTTCCTTCTCGTAATAAGATATACCTATATTAGGTACCTGGACATATGGGTATTCTTGGAGAGATGGCGGACGAAGCAGCACGGGCAGGCTCCAGCGCGATTTTCTAGGGCCCTGAACCAGCCTTGGGACTCTTTCCTCTATTATTCAGAGCATCTATTTTCAAACTCCTTGACAAAACTGTCCACGAGCAATGACATGACTCTGATGGTCAAGGACAGACTAAAGAGCTGAATCGTAACTGTCTTAGCGTGCGTCAAAACGAGCTTCTTAAGCTAAACAGGAACGGTTTGAGGAACATCATTGGCCTTCTCATTAGACACTGCACCCTCTGGAGACACCCATACATAATGGGTGCTCTATCTGATCCAGGTTGCCATCTTGAGGAGGAGACTTTAACGCATAAACTTTGGGACTGTGAGTTCTGTTTTGCTCAAAGATTTGAGAAATTAGGCAACATTGTATACTGACCTGGAAACTGCAAGATATTTCTATCGGGTATTTGCTGACATTTATTGCAGCTATAAAGTATTCTTGTTAATCTTGATTTAGGGTTTGGGTGCAATAAACCTCTGGCCGATATGCCGTGCTCTTTGGAGCTTCCCAACCTCTAAGTCTAAGCTGGCCCATCGTAAAATTATGCAAGAAACATTTTTTTTCATTTTTTAAGTATAAAATTCTAGTGTGTAGAGCTGTTTCTATTTTTTTGAGCCGTCAAAATAATATACTTGAATTTCTTTGTAAAAGTTTCAAAATGTATTTTTCTGAGAAATGAAGTTAATAAATCATTCATCACTTTGTAGGGGGTTTTCCTTAAAATTTTTGAATAAGCATGATATTGTTGTTTAATATTGGAAATGAGTCTTCTGTATCTGCTCATGTTAGGGTTAAATATTGTTATCAGTTCAGAAATGCTAGTCTCTATTGTTTCTTTTGGCATAACATGAATATTAACTTTCTCCCTTTTTCTGTTAACAGTTTCCTTTTCGGCATCATAAAAATTAGTATGTATATCTTTCTCTTCATAGTTATTACAAATATTATACACGCAACTTTTCTTTCTTAAAATCACAAAACAAGAGTTTGCCCAGTGTTAAGACTTGAGGAATTAATTATTTTTAAATTTTGGAGTGATTTAGTTTTAAAGGAGGCATTTTCATGAATACATAGCCATGTAGTTCGTCCAAGTCTTGTTGGAACACATACCCAAAATAAACAATGTCGAGAGTGAAACTTACACAGAAGCATTTTCCCTTACAAATATTTTATGAAATTTTTTTAAATCATCTAAGAGATATCTGGTTTTTTTGTTAAGTATGATCTTTATCTGCTATTGATTTTTTATCTATTGATCTGTTAACGTCTTTTTGTCGGAAGAATTTGGTCACCAATTTCCGCTAGATTTTAGCACTTTATGTGCTTGATTTTGTTTTCTTTTTTTCGGAAATGAATGTCATTACAATTTTTATAGTTAAGTTAATTCTTAAAGATAGCAATGTGCGTCAAACATTTTCAATGTTCTTATAATACGTTTCACTTAAAAACAAAAATGTTTTAATGATAATTTATTAAGAAACAGTTAAACGAGTACATAAAAACAATTATTATAATGGTTGTAAATCTTATAAAAATAGAAAAAAAGTAGGTAAAGATAATTTGTATTAACAATTAAGAATCTGAATTCTATATTCTGATAAAAAAATTGTCTTACAAAATCTTCTCGAAACTTTGTGACAAGTTATGTTTATCATTACTTTTGTCATGTCTGTTAATAAATATGGTAACAGACATGGCATTTCAATAAAAAAGAAATTCTTTTTGCTAAAAAGTTTTATAAATTTTTTAATATTTTACTTGATTTAGAAAAAAATTTCCCGAGACTAAAGCAACTTGCAGAAGGATCTAAAAAATAAATTAATTTCATTCACCTAATTGGAATAACAGAGATAAAATGGCGAATGAAAAAAAAGGAGTTTTGCTCCTTTAAAATACACAGAACATTTAAAATAGCTGTTTCTATTTCGTTTCTATACACTCTTCACTGGTATACAAATTTTACTATTAAGAATTTCCAATTGTTTAATTTAAAAATATAAATCGTAGTTAGTAACAATCATAATGATAATTTCAGGACAGTTGAATTTTATTAATTAAAATTTTAAATGTTTACTTTTTATTTATAATAATCTTATCAGAATGTAATTTTGACAATTTTAAACAATTGTAAAATGTGACAGAGTGGAAAGTTCATTTATTGTAATGTAATTCTTGTAAAATTTTAATGTTATATGTTTTGGTCAGCTGTATTTCCAACCACCGTTTATATCATTTAATAAAAATATTATTTTTTCTTACTAGGCAGGGCAGTGAAGCATTATTCTTCTTGTACTAGAAACTATCTGCTAATAAGTATATGAGACCACGAAAAATTGCTTAAAGTTTCTTCGAAATTCGAATAAAAATTAACCCTTTTGATAGTCAGCGAATGGCTTTCAAATATAAAAAGAACTCAATTATTTGTACTTTTAATCTATCATGGTAAACAGAACTATCTTATTTTTGCAAAATAAATCACATCAATGGAAGATTTGTGTTAACATTTTATTTTATTTTTAAGAGAATGAATCATCCAGTTAAAAGGACGCTACAGATGCAAAAGGGCTAATGTATGCAGAAACAATGGGGCTTTGTTAGCTTTCAATGATAATGTGATATTCAAGAAAGAAAAACTTGAAACTTGATGTTCAAGAGATAGTAAGACGTAACACAATCTGAGGCGTGATACGTCAATCCAATCTGGTAAAAAACTTTGTGGAATTTTCTAAACCTTCACAAATCACTATTTCAAAACGCAATTATTTAACAGTAATAAATGTATATAACATAATTTTATTTGTTTATCTTTTCTATCTTTTGATCGATTAAAATATGACGGTAGCTATTTGTTAATCTTAGCTCACTTCTTAATTCTTAATTAGTTCTTAATCAGTTCTTAATTCCTAATTATTTGTTTTATTTTTTACCATGCATATGTAAACCATATGTTTAGAATGAAGGAAATTATAAATCACATTATGTTAATGTATATGGGCGTGTAAATACATATATATATAATCTCGATAATATAAATATTCGTTTCTTTAGACTTACCAAAAGTTAACAAAAATGTTATATAAAATGATGTTAAGATAACTTGAATCTGTTTAGAGTTAAAACGAAGACAGAATAAAATGTTTATTTTGTTAATTACCTTTACATTCGTTTTCTGATACTTTTCCATAATCTGGCCAACACACGCAACCTTTACCATTGTCATCACAGTCACCATTCTTACAGTTACAACCTAATTTAATAAAAACAATTATAAAATATTTCTGTTTCAATTATAATACTTAATGCTGATGAATTATTCGACCATTAAGTATAAAAGGTTTTTTTTTTTAAGTTCATGCGAAAATATGCAATAGAGCGTGCATATTATGTTGTATTTCATTCTAACTTTTTACTTCTTTTCTTAAGTAGAGAATAGCTTGCATTAATTAAGGAATTATATGAAATCACCAAGCAGCAAGAGCTGCGTAATCAACTTATTCACCATCTATGCATAAAAAATGAGAACAAAAGAAAAGAAACCCTACAAGAAGTCTTGCTGTCCCCCCCCTGACTCCACAGCAGAACGTGACTATTTTTTCCCTGTATTTCCCCTTCAATGCATTACTCCACTGAATTCGGGGTGATGTGTTTTTCGAGATTTTTAAAATCTTAATTTCGTACAACTAATAAATGTTTTGACGCATAATGCACTCAAAAGCAGAACAATTACCGCCACTTGTAAACGAATTTTTCGACATCGAAAATAAATAATTCTATTAATAACTAAGTTGAAAGATGAAGTAACAGAAAATAGGGTACAATCAATATAAACCGAATCTTATACCGGATAGATACAACCGAATCTTTTACCGGAAGTTGAAACAACCTCTCCAAGTATTGTCCAACCGTTGAGAACACGAAACACAGTTGAGAATAAAGTCAATGCATATAATGAAATAAAGAATTTGTGTATGTGTGTATCACCGGATTGTGGGTATACTGAGTTACGGAAATTACGACATTAAGTATGAAGATAAATGAATACAATTGTAAACAAATTACGATAACTAATTTTAATTTTTTCCTACATTTATAATTCAAAGACGGAAAAGATGGAATTTTCACGCTGGGTTAGCAGAAGACATTGTTCGAAATTTTAGCTAAAAAAAATTTTTTTTTTGTAAAATATTTTGAAATAAAATATCTGTTGAGGAAATTTGGGGTTTTTGCCTCACTTGGGGGGGAAAAATACGGTGACCCCCACGAACCATCCACTCTACCATTCTTCGTTTCTTTATTTTTTTATCAGAGACTTGATTTTAATCAGTGGTTCAAAGTTTCATCACTTAACAGTTATTGGAATATTTATTTTTTCGAATAAATTACAATGTTTTACATTGTTTCTAAAGCATTTGAGAAAGGAGGAGAGAGATAATTCAAATGATTTTTAAAGTGCTTATTATTATTATTATTTTTTGAATACTATTCCAAATTTCTCTATTTAACTTTTTTTGGATATAATTTCTACTTTATCTAAAATATAAATTTAATAATTAAAAACTATTTTTCTACATATATCTACTTTATCATTTTCATCAATTTTAATGTTATTTTATAGTTTCACAAACTCTTTTACAGATAAAACTTCACCTCATCTCACCTCCCTTCTTTACTTGATTTTTACAAAGAGGGAAAATGTATCAATTAATCAAATTTTTATCATTTAAAATTAGTGAAAGTATTTATTTATTTACTTTTCCTAAATTTTTTTATGATTTTTTTCTTTTAAATTTAGAATTTTTTTCTAATTTCGCCTATTTAATTACGTTTTCAATCTAAGTACATAAATTAATATTCGTATTGATTCATAGCTACTTAATTAATGATATACTTAGCGATGTACTTAGTTCTGTAGCGAAGAGGCATTTCATATTTCACGAATGAGAACTTTCAAAATTTACATTCTTTGAATTTTGAAAGAAATATATTTTTGGAATCTTTTATTTTGAATGCATGAGTAAACATGATCCATTATCTAATCAACCAAAATTTAAATTAATTATATGTAGTTATTGGCAATATTTTTTTTATGTTAATTTAGTTATTAAAGAATTAATTTATCATCTTTCCTTTTAATAGAAAATATGCTTTTGGAACTATGTTTATTCCGTAGTAGTTGGAGAGAATTTATCTTACTTGATGTGTTATTTCCTTGTAAGTCGTGTGATTTCTTTGACAACTGAATATATGTAAGAAACCTTGTTTTATGCTACGAATTCATGGATTTGAAAAAAAAACATTAATTTGTTACCGTTTATAAATCTTAAGAAACCTGATTGAGAATAAATTTTTTAAATGGTATAACAAATGGATATTATCAAAATGTAAACGAAAATACTTGAAAATATAATTAATACTAATTTTTAAACTTATTGACTGATAAAAAAATCATCATTTTAATTTAAAATTTACAAACCTGTGTGCATAAATAAAAAAAAAATCGTTAGTATGTCAATCGGCACAATAAAATTCCTCTAATATCAAAATGACAGAGACAAATACTTTATATATATATATATATATATATATATAGTTCAAAATGAAGAA